TTGTTAATCTCCTTAACTGCAACCTCCAAACCCGAGTGACGATGCCTTGAGTGCCACACCACCGCAAAAGAACCCGACCCGATTTGCTGTCCCAGTACGTAATCTCCGATCAGGCGCGGCTGGTTGGGGCTCCCGAAATCCATGGAGAATCCGAACCGGTTCGCCCGAGCCACAAACTGGGTCTGTGACCGTCTTTGTTGTAGTTCCCGGAGGTATTGTCCGACTAAAAATGACTAAAAGTTATGGCTCGGATGATGAAGATCATGCTGGCGAATTCGTAGATTCTTGCTGAATTTGAAACTACAGAGGATGATGAGGTTGATAAAGCAGTCAATGAACGAAGAAGGCTTTTCATTATTGTTTGGATATGTTTTTGTCTGCAGAAACGACGCCGATGTTACGAAGCTGAGACGCAGTTTGGCAGTGCGGAATGGGAAACTGCTGAGTGGACGAAGAAATACTTTTTATCTGCGATATACGTACAAACACGCGATCATTGATGACTGAACAAAAGCCGTGGTTTAATGATCACTGAACAAAGGCTGTGTTTTTTTAACAGAGGCTGGGAAAAATGATTATCCGTCCGAGAAGAGAGAGAGCAGTTTAATTATTAAACTGATCTTATCCTAACTATCTGCCCATTTATTAATTAAATTATCATTTTATATAATACACACGCACACGCACAATACAGTAATGTTATTTTACTTTCATTTCTTTTTAATTTCGTATATTACCCGCCCAAACAAGAATGCTATAAGCCTGGTGATGCGTTCTAGTAACTCAATTAAAATAATTTATCACAAGATATCTTATTTGAATTTCAGATTTTACGTTGGATTTTTTTTAAGAAAAAACAACTCACATATCACATATCCCTCTAATAAAGTTTAAGTATAAATAATAAAAATGAATTAAATTATAGATTTTTAATTTTTAGAAATAGAGCTCACTTTAAATTGATTTATCAGTGAAAAGTGTAGTATCAAACTAAATGGATTTCAAATTATACTTTTTCCAGATATATATCATTTTCAATATATAACGGTTTCATTTCAGTAGATGATTCGTTTACTAACGATGAAGGTTATCAGGATGATCTGACATTTAGAAATTTTATTATAAAGTTTTAAAAGCTAAAATAGTTTCTTCACATAACTTAAATGTTTTTTTAAATATATGTGATATTTAAAATTTATTTCACTGGCTTTGATTTAAAGTGAGAATAAAAAATTATCTAGGATCATCCTCAGCATATAATATCCCGACGCGTGGGATGGTATCAAATGAATCACCAAGCCCCATTGGCGAACTTGATTCACTAAGTTATTCAGGCCCAGTTCTTTTTCATTTGGACTATTATGCAAAAACGTAGGCCCAGTGTTGTAGGCCAATTGGGCCACCGCAACGAAAATATTAGAGTAATCAAATTCAGGTCCTCTCTTTGTTTTGGGCTTAGGCCCTCTCTTTGTTATGAAAAAAAAATTCAGGTCAATAATAAGCTTAAATTACCAGGCTAAAAAAAATTGTAAGTAAATTACCAGAGGGAAGTCTTTTTCTTCAAGGATACAAATGCAAGTCCAAATAATTAATTTTCCTTTAAAAAAAAGCTGGAGTAACGAGTTCTCAGATATCTAATATTATTGATTAATCTTGGAGTAAATCACATCAGTCGTAATTTGAAAAAAGATTTTATATGTGAATATAACCTTAAAAAACAGAGATATTAAGAGACAAAACTCAAATAAGGACAATGATTGGAATGGAATTATACTAGTATAGCAATATTTCTTACAATGTTTTATGCAAGGAGAAAAAAACCGGACTGAACCGGCTGATTCAATCAGAAAAACCGGTGTTGAATAAGTCTAAATATGAACCGGTTCAACTGGTAAAGCCGGTGTTGAACCGGGTTAGAACCGGTTGGGTGGTTCACTCGTTTTTTTTTCCTACCCAGCCAGGACAAAATTACATTGTCTAGGTTTTAAGGAAAAAAAATAAAAACCTATTTCTCCCTCACATTCAACCCGGCTTGCCTCCTCAGTCCTTCGGTCCTCCCCTATTTTTGCAAATCGAAATCCCCTCCCCACAAATCGCTGAGATTCCTTGCTCTTTCTCCCAAACTCTAGTCATTCCCCCCACCAAAATCCATAGCGTTGTTGACAATGGGCCTCATAGTTCGGTCGTTCACTGATAGTGACACTCCCTCCTCTGTTTGCCCCTCACATTGCAAGTGGCACCCAGTCGACGAATCATGGAAGTCCTAGTGGCACCCTGCTTCGCCTTCACCTTTCACAGAAGTCCTGCTTCACCTTTAGTTCAGGCACTGAGTTGTGGCCTTGTGGGTAAGTTCAAAACCTTTCCTTTTTAGTTGGGTTGTTTTTCTAAGATCAAAGAGCTGCTTTGTTCCATGTTCCTTGTTTCTCTTGATTCCTTCGGTTCTGGTTGTTGTGAGATTTGAGAAGGGAGGAGAGTGTTATTGCTAAAATAATATAGATTAATTTTGTAAAGAGGAGAAGGTATTGTTCTGCATCATAATGTTGGTTCCTGTGAGCTTACCTTATGCATATTTTACTAATTTTGATTATGCTGTTGATTCCTTTACATACTATTGATTTGATTGCTTTAGATTAATTTTGTAAAGAGGAGAAGGCCACAATATTTGTTCCACTTTAATGTTATGAATTAAATTTTATTATTTTAACGTGACCATTCCGACTCCAGTTTGACCACGGTCCAACTAGTGACCCTTGACCCACTGTCTTGACCGGTTTAGTTCCCGGTCCGGTTTTTTGTTCCTTGGTTTTATACTTTTCAAATGCAGTGTTTTGTTTCTACGTATCTACTAAAAATGAAGATTATATTGGAGGTCTAATATATATATATATATATATATATTGTCATTGAATAGAACCTCTTGATCAACAACATATCTAAAAATTTAATTGTTAATAGAGTATAATAACGTCGTGTAATTCATATAGCCGATCCCACCTAATAGGATAAAGCTTGTTGTTGTTGTTGTTGTTGTGTGTGTTACTCTACTTAATAATTAATTTTTCATTGCGTGTGTATTATTCTTCTACGCGTGAAGAATGGACAAGAAAAGTCGGCAACATCTAAAGCAATAAAATGCGACTTTTAAAGCAAAATGTGGAAACAAGTTTTAAAGGAACGTATTTCTTTGTGCTTGTTTATTTAAATTGTTTGGTGACCCTCCACAACTTTACATGCAACATTTATTTAATTTTATACTACCTCCAATCCTAATTATAAGAGCTAGTTGACTAATTTGATGAGATTAAGAAAATAGGTTAAGTTAGTTACTTATAATAAATAGGTATTGTTTTTCCTAAAATATCCTTGCTAATCAAGTTTATTGGCTAGGACCACCATTATTAGAAGGATTACCTTGAAAAAGAATACATAAGTATGAGAGACAAAATGGATTAGAATCTTATAATTAAGATCAAAATAAAAATCAAATAAGGTCTTATATTAAAGATCGAAAGTAAAATAAATTTATATCACAAAGGCAGAAGAACGTGAAACCTGGTGATGAGCACATGTACGCCAACTTGTAATTTTATTATATGCCTCTTCGCCCCAAAAATATTATTACTGTCACTACTACTATATGCCTCGGTACGTGTGTAATTATTGATTAAACGTAGTTGGTTTGCTGTAAAAAAAAACATAGTTATTAACTATTTCCTCGTATCCTTACAAGATATTATTAATGTTATCAACCTAGTCCCATTTTAAAGATGCTCAATTTCACAATTGTTTATTGTGATGTAATTGAACAAAAATTCTCCTTTACCTCCCAAGTTTTTCCTTTACACCAAAAAGAGATCGTTTTATTGATTAATAAAAGAAAGGCCTATCAACGAGCAGTTGATCAAACTGGTAAGTGGGCCTGCCTTCCGTAAGGACGAGAACACGTGTTCGAATCCCGGGAAACGTTCTCGTTGGGAGAGGGGATAACCACCTCGGTTGCTAATAGGCGCCGGATTACCAGGCTGTGTATAACCAAAAAAAAAAAGAAAAGCCTACAAAGTACCCAAAAAAATTACACCAAAAGAAACAAGATAGTTTCAAAAGAACCAATCAAAGCAGCAAAACTAAAGAGCAAAGCAAGATCCACCAAAAAACAGAAAACAAGGTACAAAACTTTGACAGTAAATCAACTCATTCCTTCACAATCCAAGGCTTTATCAGTAAAAGTTTGGATCCCATCTCTCTTTTTTCAATAGCTGCAAAAAAATTCGCAGCCCTATTTTCTTGTCTAGCAGCCATGGAAAATTGAATGATTGACATTAGTTCAATTAATCGAAATATATCAGCAAGAATAGAAGAGTTTTGCCATACAGCATTAATTAGAGATTTATTCTAAAGAACTTTAAAAAGCTCCTCACAGTCCGTCTCAATACAGATTATGATTAGGGAAAATATGAATATACAAAAGAGCATTTTTAAGAACAAAGCATTCAGTTTCTAAGAGAGTAGATGACTTATACTACATGTTGTGGATTACTTTTGAAAAATTGTTTTTGAAGGCTCCAGTTACAATTCCAAACAATCGCTCAAGCCATATCTACAATCTAGTTCATGTTCATTTTTATGTAGTCCGATTCATGTTCATGTTTTTAAGCTATATCAATATTTTGCAATTTCCTTTCAACAATGAATTCTTTCTTTCACTTGAAAAAAGCAACGTCTTTTTTTTTTTGAAATACAACTAAACAGCTCCTGTTCTGAGCAATAATTTCACTTCCAAGATTAGCTTTTGATGTTTGGCCAAAAAAAGAAAAGATTAGCTTTTGATGCAATCGAAAGGAAATTTTTTTAATTATGTAATATAATAATTAGTCGAATAGTGACATTTTAAACTCTTTTGCAATTAGATTGTACACCAAAGAAACAGATCTCCGAATCTTCACAGAACAAGGTGAGTCAGCCTCTCTCTCCCTTTTCCTCCTTCGGTCCCCCCTCCTCAGTTGTGACCTAATGTTCTAACACGTATAAATACCACCCACCTCGCCTTCTCTTCCCTATTCAGCCATTGACCATTTCTTCAGGTTACTCACAGTCCTATTAAAGGTGCGTTTTTTCTTTGGTTCAGAACTTTCAGTCTTCCTAAGAGCCTCTTTGTTTGACTGTAAGTTATTTGTTCGGTGCATCAAGTAGTCATCTTTTACGAAAGTTGTATTTTCTGGGCTTTCTTCTGCCATCGCTACAACTCATTTTGAGCTTAGCGCTATTGCTCTGCATATAAGATTGCGAAGCTATTAACAACGTCCTATTTTGTATTTTTCACTTCCTCCGATATGAGCTGATTTACCTTAGATGAGCAGCATAGTCATGTTTCTTGATTTCTAGACTTTTTCAGTGATATAGTGTTAGAGTTGATGATTTACCTCGAGTGAGAAAACATTTGGAAGAACTTAATTCATGTTGATAACGAGATAAATTATCGTCTCTTGCCAACTGACAAAATCCATTTGGGTCAGACCATTTTTAATTTTCTTGGTTTGTTATAAACATTATTTTGTGCTCTTTCTGTATCAAGATGAGCCACTCAGAGGAGAATAATGAAGTTCCAGCTCCGGAAAACCGACCAGTTCCTCGTTTGAATGAAAGGATTCTTTCATCTTTGTCAAGGAGATCAGTTGCTGCCCACCCCTGGCACGATCTTGAAATTGGTACTGTCACTGATCAGATTGCTCATTTGTATTCATTGACATAGAAAACTTGATCTTGTCGCAAATAATCTTAAATTCTTAATTACTGTATGGTATGCAGGACCTGGAGCTCCCAATATTTTCAATTGTGTAAGTTTTCATTTTCCGTCTCTGGAGATAGTTGTCTGATTGTCTTCTGCCATCTACTGGAGAAAAGAATGTGCTTGTTGCGGGAAGAGGGATAAAGTAGATGTGAATTATCTTTTTAATTCAACTTGTCTGGAACTTTGTGGCGTCTTATGATCCTCTATGATGCGGTTCCCAAAACATAGCACTAACCAGTTGTGATGGATTGATACACACTGAATTCTAGGGAGTTCTGATTTGATGATCTTTTCCCATTCATTTTGGCAAATTACAAATTACTTATAAAAGAAGAAATCAAACTAATTGCTAAAACGAAGCAGAAAATCATACACTCTTCTTGCCTGATTTAGAAGAATGTGGATCTGAGTTTTCATATGGTAAGATTGTTCTTTGCTGAATTCATTTTTGACTTGGATCTGCGCTTATGCATTTAAACCTCAACAGACTCTCAAAATTTGTAGTAATTTGGTTCATAAAATCCTGTCTTACCTCGCTGACCTAATCTCAGAGCTTCCCCTGCCTCCGTAAATTAAATTCTATATTCCTCCAAACTCTTCAGTTTCTCTTAATGCTCACTTTGAATCTCAAATATCCATTATTCTCCTATTAAAGGCATTTGTTTATCACATTAATCTCATTTCTGACCTGAACTTTCCTAGTGACATAGCAAATTCATTCCCTACATTCATGCATTTATACAATGGGGGGGTGTTTGTCACGTAATGATTGTGAATGCGGTCCATATCCTATTTTTATGCCCATTATTTTTTTTCTCCTTTTAGATCTCACCAAATTGGAAGCATGCATTTACCTTTGAAAATTTAGGGGATCCAGATCGAAAACATAGTGTTTCTGCTTCTTAAACGGTTTGTTGCGACTTGCAGGTTGTGGAGATTACCAAGGGAAGCAAGGTGAAATACGAACTTGACAAGAAGACTGGATTGATTAAAGTATGAGCAAATTCCCTGCTTATTCAATGATCCTTTTGTTTTCCCATCTCGCAGACTCTTGATTCTTGTCAAATTCCATCGTCTGCTTTTTCTCGTATATCTGTCTTTTAGATTCTTCGTATGATCTGTAATAATTCTCAGGTTGATCGGGTCTTGTACTCATCTGTTGTTTATCCTCATAACTATGGCTTTATCCCTCGTACACTGTGTGAAGACAACGATCCGCTTGATGTCCTGATTATAATGCAGGTAATTTCTTATTATTTCAGACTATGTTGTAGAAGCATTGCATCCTGTTTATTAGGTTCTATTGATTAGCTCTAAAGCATATCACGCCAGTCAATTCAATTCAATTATATTGTGATGCTCATTTCTGTTATTCACATTCTATTCACAAAATTCTCCCCCCCCCCCATGTACAAAGCTGATACTGCTACTAAAGATTCCTACTTCCAAATTATTTTGATGGACTCATCACTTCTGAATCCTGTTAATTACCCTTATAATGCTCATAGTCTGATTTATCTTTACCTGCTTTCAAAAGATGAAAATTCCAAATCACTCTAGTGCTTCATTAGCTATATCTATGATGTATTATGTTGCAAAATTCAATATTAATTCTATGATTCAGTGCCTGAAAACATAATGCGCAAGTCATTTTAATGTGAGTATAATCACGCAAGATTCCAGATCACTGTTCCCTTCATACAACTAATCTTCAATATCAGTAGTTAATAGATCCTCATTAATCACTCAGACAAATCTCATAGTCTAGAGTTATATCCTTATCTGTGTTCCAAACACGAAGATCCCAAATCAACTCAAATTCTGCATTGGCCATGATCTACTATGTTTGATTCTTTCCCGGGCACTATTCCTCCGTTATAATCAGCTTACTGAATATCTGATGTGGTTAGGAGCCAGTTCTTCCTGGTTGTTTCCTACGAGCCAAGGCCATTGGGTTGATGCCCATGATTGACCAGGTACCCTTCTGGCTATTATTTTGTTATCCTTCTGTTTTTTCTTTTTAACTCTTTGAATTTAAAATTTGAATTTTCCACCTAAAATTTTGTTCAAATCAATATATCTCAGTCAAAACGCCTGCTGTGTTATTATTTATCCTGTGTATTGACAGAATAGAAAAATCTACTTCTTTCCAAGCAATTATATGTTAACAAAATAGTCACAACCCTATTGACACAGGGAGAGAAGGATGATAAGATTATTGCAGTATGTGCCGATGATCCAGAGTACAAGCACTACAATGACATCAAAGATCTGCCACCTCATCGTCTCTCCGAGATTCGACGCTTCTTTGAAGACTGTATCCTTCAGAACATATTAATATAAAAACTTAACATATTTATGCCTCTTTACAAATTGTCTTGTTTCTTAACATATTTTCTCAGACAAGAAGAATGAGAACAAGGAGGTGGCTGTTAATGACTTCTTGCCTGCAACCACTGCTGTTGAAGCCATCCAGTATTCAATGTCAGTACATTTGGAACAACTATTAAGTTTCTTTTTCTTTTTCTATTTTTAATTATATCTAGCTAATATTTGGTAAAAATTGTTAAAGATTATTACCGATTCAAGAGCCAGCTAAATATATTTTCCTGATATAATTATCTTAATACTTTGAACATGGGTGATTTATGGCAGCAAAAGTGATTTTAGTTGAAATGGTCATTGCTTGAAATAATCTGAGCTTTATGTAACATTTTGCAGGGATCTTTACGCGGAGTATATTCTGCACACCTTGAGGAGATAGACAACAATGCTAGCTGCCATAAATCATAACATGCTGCATTTTAATAAATGTTTTTTTTTTTTAGTGTTATGGGGAAACTCTTTTTTTATTTTTTGGGTCAATATGGGGAAACTCTATTTTTATATTATTCTGTATGAAATGATGCAAAAGTTGTCTAGTTAATTCTAAGAGTGCCATAGACCGTCCTTGAATATGAAATTCTTCATCCAGAAATCCCGTTTTGTGAGATGTTCTTTATATTCTTGGTTCAGTGATTCATTTGGTTAGGCACCTGGAAACTTGATATTTGCACTGCAGACACTTCACATCTTAATTCTGCAACTGTTAGGTTCATCTGTTTAACTTTTTCTTTCTGCGAGTGATTTGGCTAATCTGATGTTATCATTTTATGGTATTTCTTTTCCAATGTTAATGCGATGTTAGATGACTCTGAGGTTAGGATTCCAATATGTTTCTCTTGCGGCTTCTCCACTTCCTTTTCACTATAGTTCTGAATGTTTCAGATCAAATTTTAACCGGTTGAAAAATTAATCTCTGTTTCAATATATTTTAGGCGTATTTTATTAAATTTTTTAATTTGAAACATCCATATTTAATCGGTCTTGTGGGAGGTGGTTTATTTTAAGTTCTTGCTTTGTCATATGTATTTTCCTGCGAACACATGCGTCCGATGTTTTGCAGGCCTTTTGGCACGATCCAAAAGATGTTCAATGCAAAAGCATTTTATTTCTGATTAATTCCTTGTTAATTATTTTTGTTAATTTCACCTATGTATTTGCGAAAATTAAAACGTTTTTTTTCTCAAAATATTAATTGCATATGACAGAAATAGATGAGCTGTCATTCATGTGGGCTTCTACATCAGTACATGTCATGTACTATCATTTTAAGAGTGTGTTTGGATGAAACCAAATCGTGGTTTGGAAAAGTGATTCTGGAGAATAGATTGTGAGAAAAATAGATTTTGTGAAGAATAGATTTTGTAAAAAAGTGATTCTGAGAAGTAAGAGTGTTTGGATAGTTGTTATCAGAAACACTTTTTATATACAAATACTTAAAAAAAGATATAAGTTAATATGATAATTACAAAAAAAATAGATTTTATGATATATTTTAATTTGAAGGAATAAAATTGTTAATAATATGTTTTTTACCAACATAATTAATAATACATAAAATAATATAATTAATAAATAATTAATGTGTATATATTTATAAAATATAAGATTAAATATATTTATAAAAAAATATGTTTATAAAAAAAATAACAAGATACATATCATATAGGCCTTCACATCTTTCCTTTTTCTCCAAAAGCAAAAAAATTTTGCTTTTTCCAAAACCATGGTTTTGCCCAAAACCATGGTTTTGATTTTAGAGGGGGTGTTTGGGTGATTTATTCCCCAAACCATGGTTTAGGTCCCCAAACCATGGTTTGGGGTGTCACCCAAACACTCCCTAAATCGAGTAATCTTTCATATGTTTCATATCATGTAAGGTCTCCATCTTATTATTTTTATATCCACCTGTTTCTCTCTTTTTAAAAAGAAAAATCTCTTATTTCTCTTTTTTTTTTTTGAGTAGGATGTTATCGCTAACTCAGAGTATCCCAGCGTATCGGCCAGACTAATCCCAGGGTGCCTCGCCAGGAATCGAGCCCATGACCCGGTAGGGGAACGCGCCTTGCGCTCCCGTTTGCGACCAGTCGGACCCAACCCTTGCAGGCAAAATCTCTTATTTCTCTTTAAATGCTCTCTCTCTCTCTCTCACAGTATGTATATACTATTTCGATCTTTAATATGAGATGTAATTAATTAATTTGAATAGACTATGCGTTTGAAGTTTTGCAGGCCTTTTGGCATGATCCAAAAGATGTTCAATTCAAAAGCATTTTATTTCTGATTAAGGGGGTGTTTGTGTATCATGAAAAGTATTTCTCAGAAGCACTTTTTCGTAAATCGAGATAAATTTTTTTATATATTTATCTCGTAAATTGTAAAATCACTTCTGAAACCATAATTTGGTTTTTATCTAAATACTCCCTAATTCTTTGTCAATTATTTTTGTTAATTTCACCTATATATTTGCGAAAATTAAAACGTTTTTTTTTTCAAAACATTAATTGCATACGACAGAAATAGATGAGCTGTCATTCATGTGGTCTTCTACATCACTACATGTCATGTACTATCATTTTAAAATCGAGTAATCTTTCATATGTTCATGTCATGTAAGGTCTCCATCTTACTCCTCTGGTCATTAATATAAGACCTAATTGTTAAGTTGGTTTTAGTTCTAAATATAAGACTCATTTATCATATTTATCAATTTTCTCTAAATTATCCCTATAGATAGTTCATCAACCATAATCAAGTAAAAGAAAGAAAGAAGGTATTAAGAAAGATGATTATGGTATTTTAGGAAAGATGTGTCACATTTTTTATAATTAACTAACTTACATAACTTCCTTAATCTAATCAAATTAGTTAAATGGGTCTTATATTAAGGACATGAAGAGTATTATTTTTATATCCACCTGTTTGTCTCTCTTTTTTTTAATCTCTTATTTCTCTTTAAATGCTCTCTCTCTCTCAGTATATATATATACTATTTCCATCTTAATGTGAGATCTAATTAAATAATTTGAATAGACTAAAGATATAAGTTAAATTAGTTATTATGATTTTTTTCTAAAACATCATAAAAATATTTTTTAATTTCTTTCTTGTCTCTCTTATTTAATTATTGTTAGGGATATCAATAGGGTTAATTTAAAAAAAAATTCATAAACTTGTGAAACATATTTTACATGTAGAATCAATAACAACTCTCTAGTTGGGTCCTACGTTAAGAACCAACAAGCAGAGAAGTATTAAATTTTGTGATAGAGATATGGATTATTGAAATTCACGTTTCTATTTCAACAACCACCTGGTGACGCGTGACCCCGGCCATTTAATTTAATTGAATGTCAATGGCATTTTTTTTCCTCAGTGCAATGTCACTGGCATTTAAGAAGGCATTGACTATTGAGAATATTTATCAACATGACGAAATAAAATTGAAATTGATTTGAAACTTTCGAAACATAAATTTTCCGATTTAAAATGTTTGCATTTAGCAGATTAGATTTCCTATGAACATAGTAAAAAATATTCATGAACCATAGCTTTAGGTTTCAGGTTTAAATATCAGTGAGTAAGGAGAGAAAAAATATCTTTTTTTTTTAACAGTTTTATTTCATTGAAAAATAATAAAAGTTAGAAAAAAGAAAACAAGCGATGACTAAGAAGTTAGTATGCTGGTGAATTAGGACAAAAAATTAAAGTGATGATTTAAACTCCCCTGTTTTGTGATGTTTATCTACAAAATCAACAGAGAAACAAGGAAGGGGTTGGCCCACAATTATGGGCCTAATGTCAATTTCGATTAGTGGAGGAAAAAGACAATGTGGGCCAAATGGTGGGCCACTAGTAATGGTTCTCAGACTTTTTAATGATGGGCCCCACCTGAGGATCAACTGTTATGGACCATAAATTAATGAATTTATTTTCCTCTTCACATAATGATAGGATCCTAAAGTCATGTGAGGTTATTGAAACATGAAAGAGAATGATGTATAAAATAAATAAATAAAAAGATGAAAGGGAAGGATTTCATTGGTCATGAATTTTTAGTTCTTTTTCTGTCTCCATAATTATAGTTCTCATAGAGCTCTTTTATGTCTTCCCTGGACGACGCTGTGTTATATTCCTTGCTTGTTTTCATCAAATTAACAAGATTATAAATAAAAAAGACTATTCCCTAAAATTAAAAGAAGAAAACTTATCCCATGAGGAAAGGAGAGGGGGAAAAATCATCTCGACTAACTTGATTCTAACTGGGTCGAACCAGCCCAAATGAGAAAAGCTACACTCAGATTTTTAAATCTATAAGATAAAACCAACGGGGATTGCGTCTAGTGGAAGGGGTTAATTTCTCACAACGTAGTGAATCAAGATTCAAATTCTTGTTGGGAGAGGTGTTCACATTTAGCACTTGACAGTACCATGTAGTCACATCATTTTTAATTAGAGAAAAATTTGTCCTAATTACAAGACATGATGTTAATTTTTTATCTTTAGTTTCTCTTTTTACCCCTCATTAAATGTTAGTGTGTCTTAATTAATTTTTAAAATATGTACATGTATATTTAATATGAAAGTATTGATTTTTTTCTTTTAATTTTAAAGAAGCACGGTAAAAATGACTTGTAAATCTCTAAAAGCAAGTGCTTGGGTGACAAGTGGCATTATGAATTTTTTTTTTTGGGGATAAAAAGTGGAATTATTGGTGACATCTACCTGATAAGGTATTGGAGAGATGTGGCCGGGTGGGAAGCCAGCATTGATCAAACTGGGTCAAAACAAGCTTAGGGAGGAGGGAATAACAACAGGGAAGACAGAGTGATATGAAATCAAATCAAACATTTAATATGATTGGATTCCGACTCGCAGGCAAAAGAGAAGCAAAGTTCAAGTCGGCATCTCTGTCTCCGCGTCATACGCATCTGAGCATTATGTGATTCCAATATGTATATAGGAAATATGTCATATCACCCGCATAAAAATGCCGAAAGGCCATGTGGGTATATGTCAGCCATTATTTTCCTTTTCCTTGACCAGAGAACCTTTGATTTTGGGATGGACTTGAATTACAAATTTAGCCCCGAAACTTTCATTTAAAAACAATTTTTTTGAGCGCAAATTTATTTTAAAAATTTAGAATTGTAGACTGTTAAAAAAAATACTGATAATTAAAATAGTGATTTTAATAGTTAATATTTTCAATAGTATGAAGCAATATTACTATTATATCAAACATTTAAAACAAATTTATATCAGGAAAATTTCTCTGAGTGAAAACTTACGAGCTAAATTTCTTAACATAGAATGGAATCGGTTTTGGTTCTCATCATTTTGATAAATATCCTAAACTCATCAGATCTAAAACGTTCATATCTCATTTGAATGGTTTAGATTTAATTTTTTA